CAAAAAAAAAAAAAAAACAAGGGCTGCAAAAAAAAAAATAAAATAATAATAATAATAATAAACGCTTTTGCTTGAATCAATAAAACATTTGTAGTTTAATTTCATATAGTATTGATACTTTACAACAAAATTTTTGGCGTTACATTTCTTACAAATGCTCGAACAATTTGAGATAAATTTTTTTTTTTTTTTAAGTTAAAAAAATATATATAATTTCCGATTTAAATTGGATAACATGCATGTTAAGCCTAAAAATATTCTTGGCTGAAGAATAATTGATTACAAATGTTTGTCTGATCAGAATAAATAAAACCCATTTCCAATTAATGCCAATCGACAGCTTTAATAAAAATAATTGTTGATATTTCATAGAGACGTAACCGCTCTCCCGCAATTTCTCAAGCGCGTGGCTTCGATTCATATTTCATGGATATCCATAAATAAACGTCTATTTAGCAGCTGGCTTCCTAATTGGAAAATGGCAAGGCCCGCGAGTTCGAGTGCTCAAGACTGTAAGCCAAATGTGTCACCTGTGACTTTCAGTGGAATAAATTTGGTCAGCTATTTGGGTTATGTAATGGCCAAAGCAAAGACAAGGCGATGCAAAAAAAAAGTACCCCAAAATCTATGCCAGCCGCTCCAAGAGTAAATATATTTTTGAAACAAACACAAATGTCAAGCAGCCAAAGAGAAAAAAATGCCTTAAATAATGTAAAGTGAGAAAACAAAACTAAAGCAAAAGTAAAGATATACGGGCATGTACATGAGCGAAATTGCCATGCGTCTGATGAATTTTCAAGACGTGGTCGTGGCGTATTTGTATAGCTAATTATGTAGGTTTGCTGGCTGAGGCGTCGAGTAAATAACGAAAATTGGCCAAGGCGCGTATTCGCACTGCTAAGTGGTGCAAAATGATGGGCGCATACGCATCTATTATGGAACTAACGAGTACTAGACATACGGCTACGTCTCTGTCTCCGTCTCTGACTCTGACTGCGACTRCGATTGCTTACGATCCCCGTCTGATGGAGTCCGAAAATGTTTGTCAATGCAATCGACAGGTAACCGGCCACTTAAAATTCAGCATCGTATGCGAGGCACCTCCAAAAAACATTTTCATATATGAAAAGCCCCGCACAAACAAAAACTAAACAGCCGAAGTCAAAGCCGAAGTTGAAGCCACAGCCGAAGCCGTAGCCAAATGCTGCCGCTCGCCCATATATAAGACCGAGTGTGACCGAAGTATTTGTGTCATTGCAGTTTCATATAGTCGATCGGTCGGTTGCTGGATTGTTCGTCGCGAACAAAGTCGAAAAGTTGAAAAACGAAAGTGCGTGGGTGTGAGAGTGCAAGAGTTGAAATCAGAGACAGTTCGAAAATGAAAGCGTTCATTGTTGCCGGTGTTTGTTTGTTTGGCCTGTTGAGCCTTGGCTCGGCCCAGTTCCAAAACGGACGCCTAGAGCCGCCAAATCCGCAGCTGTGCGCCCAGCGCATCATTCACGAGAAGACACCCGATGGCAAAGGGTGAGTCAATCACAAAATCCCTTACCACAGCTCCACGAAGTGAATTGTTATTAACCTCAAACATATTTTACATTCACTTCTACTACAGGTACTTCTTCTCGTGGCGCGACCCACAACTGAAGGGCGTGGAGGAAGATTGGCTGACGGCCAGAAATTATTGCCGCAGACGCTGCATGGACTCTGTATCGCTGGAGACCAGTCTGGAGAATGAGTGGATCAAGCAACGCGTTGTGGGTGATAATGTAAGTGGAATAGAAAACTAATTTATACAATTTGAATGGTCCTTAAGACAAAAGACTTGAGCAACGAACTTGTATGATCTTTAACAATATCACTACTAAAGTATTGAAATTTATTTTATTCGATAAGTTACATATGTATGTATATACATATGTATATGTATCATATATATGTGCAAGTCATTGTTGACACTGACAAGATTACAAGCGATTGGCTAAATGCCTCAACAACTATACAAATGTAGATATTTCCTTTTATTACGCCGCCTCGACTGTATACCAATTGACACCTCTGTCGGACACCAGTCAAAGAAGTTGGCAATAATTTACGATGCTTGCTGAACTAAAAGCCTTTTGTTTGAGTTATGTCATTTTAGGGTTTTGATAATTTGCACACTTTCGAATTGGGGCAGTCACATGCAAATGTATCCGATCCACATTCATATTATAATTGTCGATTTCATTACTCTTTTGAAATTACAAAGGAATAATGGACTTGAGTTGACCAAGTTCAATGTAAAACCATTTGGCAAACTTTCTCAGCGATTCATCAACATTTTGCAGTCGCTTTTGTTGTGGGCAATTTTGTTGTTCGCTGCTATTGTTGTTGTTGTTGTTCGTTTGTTATGCAACGGAAAGACTGACAAACAGGCAGACATGTGTCAAGTTAAAGAGCTGTCTGTAACTCTTGAGGCTACGGCTGCTGCGGTGGCTGCTGCTGCTGCTGACCAGCGGCCGGCCGGCAGCGTTTTTGTCTGAGTTACGTGAGAAAATTGTAATTGTAATGAAAACGAAAGTAAGTGTGAGGAAACAGTCGTGGAAACACAATATAGCAGTAAAAAATAAATAAAATCAATATGCNATTGAGAAAGTTCTGTTGATTCTCTGATTGGAAAGACTTTATGGCCTTTCTGTTCATGGCTTTTCTGTGGAATGAACTTGCTGATAAGCTTTATGGGTATCCAATGCTCGCTCCACTTTTACTTTACATCAGATTTGATCCCCTCATATATTCAAATGAGACAAGTGCATCGGCTACGCTTCCGTGATGTTGCAATTGATTGATTGCAATGGCGCTTGCAATTACAATGCTGGCGAGGCCCGCAGCAATACAATACAACAACAAAAACAACAGCAACAATTCGATGTCCATTAATTTGTAGCTTTCCGCTCAATGGACATTTCCAAAGGGCACTCAATGGCAACAGGTGTGTGTGTGTCTCTGTGTGTGTCTGTCTGTGTAAATATATGTATTTGTATACTATATAAAATAAACAGTTTTATGGCCATTCGGGTGAAAGTGACTGATGAACAGTGCGGTTGCTGTCGCTGCCTGTAGCTCTCTTGTGGCTGCTGACAACCGCCGAACGAAACCCGCCAACGGGTGCGGCCGCAAAGGGCGCGACTTGGAATGAGTTCGCTTTCAATGGCACCATAATAGCTGCTCACTGGCTGGCTGGCTGGCTGTCTGTCCGTCTGTCTGTCTATTGTTACTGAGCCCAAGCCCCTATCGATGCTTAAATTTCTACCAACTGTAATTGGTGCCAACGCATTTTCGAGCGTACGACAAAAACAAACTAACGGAAAACTGATATTCGAGCTTGGGCAAGTGCATTGAACTTGAACTGGTCGAAATGGGAGCAATAACTAAACCAAATTTATGCGTATTTAGCTATTTATCGGTCATCAATAGATCATTATTGAATATTAAGTTCATTCAATATATGTTTGAAAATTTCCCTTTCAATATTTTCTATACTTGACCTAGAAAGCTAATTATAGGTCATACATAAAATTTAAATGCTTATTAAGATGATTAGGACATCCACATTCCACACATTCTATACCTCGCTTAGGCATACATAATTTCCAATCTTTGCTTATACACCAGCTACATACTAAATGCCACTGCTTTCTTTTCTTGCAGGTGAAATACATTTGGACCAGCGGTCGCTTGTGCGATTTCAAGGGCTGTGACCGTCCCGATCTGCAGCCCACAAACATCAACGGCTGGTTCTGGACCGCCACGCTGCAGAAGTTGGCACCAACCACGGAGCGCAGCCAGGGCGATTGGTCGCCCACCGGTGGCATTGGTCTGCCCCAGCCCGACAACCGTGAATTCAAACAGAACGGCGCACCCGAGAACTGTTTGGCTCTGTTGAATCAGTTCTACAACGACGGTGTCAACTGGCACGATGTGGCCTGCCACCACAAGAAGTCGTTCGTCTGCGAGGAGAACGATGCTCTGCTGAAGTATGTGCGCTACACGAACCCCAATCTGCGCATCTAAATCGCTCACACTCAAAGCGGAAGTAGCAGCTGGGAATGACGTGTGGAGTTGGAGCCTCGAGCAGCGACTTCAAATAAACCAAAAATGATATTTTTATGTAGCTACCATAGATGTCCATTCGTGTGTGTATGCAAATGTATGTGTGCTGGTGTGCGAAATGATTCATTCGATTCGGTGCTGCTCATGTACTCTTTGTTAGTTACTCTTCGATATCTTGTAAACTTCCGGCTATCCTATACATATGTCTTACGTATTTGTTGTAACAGTTTTTCCAGTCTCTGCGCTCTTTCTCAACACTTAGTTTAATTATTAACTTTGTATTAATTTATGATTTTTTAAATTATAATATAACATTCAAAACGACGAGTAAAACTCAAACTGTCTTTTTCTGCTGGTCTTCGAATTCATTTAAGCTGGGCGCAAAAGATTTGGTAATAATTTATAAGTGATTTTGAAAAGAAAGTCAAGTCAAGAGGCAAGCGTTACATGTTAACATATGTATTTCTTTTGTGCGAAGTTTATCTGATATGAAAGCATACTCTGGAAATTTATTGACTTCAATTTTATATTATTAAGATTAAAGTTAAATATTTAGTTTATGAAAGTTTCGAATGTACAAAAATAGCAAAACAAACATACAAAGCATTTGCTTTCACTATGCCAGCATTTTCTCCACTTTGAAAAGTTGCGCCATTATATGAACATCTGCATTTGCATCGATAAGATTTGATCGATTTTCAGTATAAATTGATTTGAATAAATAACTCAACGAACTTTTCGATGTAGCTATCGATTTCTTAAGAGATTTGCTGTTTGTATCGATATACACCCAACAATTTGTTGAAGTATTTTGAAAATACTTTAGGAATCGATACTATTTCTCTCTCTATATTATCGAAGTGAGCTGTAAGAGCAGCGTTGATGTTTATTGAATTTGTTGGCTGAATATGGATATTGGTGAACTGTTGGCGTTTAAGGTAAGTATATGCAATACAAGGGTCCGCAATTCATTTATATGTGATTTTGCTTGCAAATAACGACAGCCCGAGCAGACGCCAAAGCGACCACATGAGGACGACGATGATTTCGCAGTGCCAGAGCCGGCGCCTAGCGATATTGGAAAACGGGGCGGCGGCGGCGATGAAAAGGCTAAGCGAATGCGTCGCATTGCGGACGCCAAGGAAACAGCTAACTACAAAAAATCACAGGAGGGCAATGCGGGTTCAGGCTCAGCCGGCAGTACATTTGAATTTGACCCTGAATTAACGGAGGAGGAACGCCTAAACATTTTGAAATATGTGGAGAGCGAAGAGGCAGAGGGCGATGTACTGGACGAGCAAGGTCTTAAAAAGTTAATACTCGTGTTTGAGAAGCGTAACTTAAAGAACCAAGAAATGCGCATCAAGTTCTCCGACAGTCCCGAGAAGTTCATGGAATCAGAACTTGATTTGCACGCAGTCATCCAGGAACTGAAAGCGGTGGCAACAGTTCCGGATCTCTATCCATTGCTAGTCGAGCTGCATGGGCTGCACAGTCTGTTGGAGCTATTGGCACATCAGAACACAGAYATTGCCGTMGCTGTTGTCGATCTGCTGCAGGAAGTCACAGACGTCGACATTCTGGGCGAGAGCAGCGATGGAGCAGAGGCATTGATTGAGGCCCTGCGGAAAGAGCAAATCTGTGCATTGTTAGTTCAGAATCTAGAGCGCCTTAACGAACAGGTCAAAGAGGAATCTGATGGCGTACACAATACATTGGCTATTGTGGAGAATCTAATCGAAATTGAGGGCGARTTTGTGCGCGAGGCGGCCACACAGGGTCTRCTGGCCTGGATACTTAAGCGGCTCAAGGGCAAGTCGCCCTTCGATCCAAACAAATTATACTGCAGCGARATATTGTCAATACTGATACAAACCGAAAACGAGAATCGTCTGCTGCTGGGGACACTAGATGGCGTGGATGTTTTGCTRCAGCAGCTAGCTATATACAAACGTCACGATCCCGCCAGCAACGAGGAGCAGGAGTACATGTCCAATCTGTTCAATTGCCTCTGCTCGGCGCTGATGGCACGAGAGAATCGTGATCGTTTCCTGAACGGCGAGGGTCTGCAGCTAATGAATCTGATGCTGCGCGAAAAGAAAATGTCGCGCAAYGGCTCGCTAAAGGTGCTCGATCATGCCATGGCCGGTCCAGACGGGCGTGAGAACTGTAACAAATTCGTGGAGATTCTTGGCCTACGCACCATATTTCCGCTCTTTATGAAAACGCCCAAGCGCAACAAACAGCGCCTGCTGTCCGTCGACGAGCATGAGGAGCATGTCTGCTCGGTGATTGCATCCATGCTGCGCAACTGCAAGGGCACACAGCGCCAGCGTATGCTGACCAAATTCACGGAGAACGATCACGAAAAGGTTGACCGCCTGCTGGAGCTGCATCTCAAGTATTTGGCCAAAGTGGAGGCCATCGACAAAGAAATTGATCAGCAACCAAAGGTGAGTGCCTTAGCTGTTGGTTCTCAAATTTAATTTTATATTGTATATTGTATTTTTTTTTTAGTTTAGAATAATTTAATATATTACAAAGGAAAATTGCCAATTAACAAATTAAATTTTTTGTAGGATGCAGCTATAGATGAGGATGAGGAGACTGAGAACAATTACATAAAGCGTCTAACTGGTGGTCTGTTTACCCTGCAGCGCATCGACTACATCCTGCTGGAGGTGAGCGCCACCTCCGAAACTGTAAAACAGCGCGTTCTGCAAATCTTAAACTTGCGCGGCGCCTCCATGAAGACAATTCGAAGCATAATGCGAGGTGAGTAATGATTAATTTTACTATTTCTTGATCATGCCCTAATCATTGTGTATATTTGCAGAATACGCTGGTAATTTGGGTGACGGCGACACGGAATGGCGGGAACAGGAGCAGACGCATATACTTTCTTTAGTCGATCGATTCTGATGTAATCGTTTCCCTCTACAGTGACCAGCTCATATGATAATATTAACTAAATAAAAGAATGTCCGTTGGCGAATATTACTTTTGAATTTGTCGATTAGTTTTGATTAATTTGGTAGATTTTGAAATTTTGAAAAAGCGTGCAAGGGTTTTAAYGTTAAAATTGTTGAGAATTAATGCACAACCGTCCCAGCTGGGAGTATCCATATCGCCATCATTGAACTTGTATCCCAGATATTTATGTCAATGGCTGCCAGATCTATTTTGGTTTATTTAATCCTAATTTCTATATTGCTTATGGTCTCCATTCTTGTTTAGCTTTTGCATTGCTAAATATTTTCACACACATATATATAGTATGTGTGTTTATTAAAATTGTTTGATTTGAAGACATCAAAATGCAGGCTTGAAGTTTTTCGATCATATCTAGTTATTTAAATAAATGCAATTGAATTTGCAATTGAAGTAATATTTGGGTATTTGTTTAAACAGAGGGGTCTCATTTGTAGCTTCTTGCATTTGTCCTCTTCCCATTCCTATTTCTTTTTGCACTTGTCGCCGCCTTTTGACCTGGAGAAATGTAAATTAGTTGATGCAAATTGAAATGAATGAAATGAAGCTAAGCGATCTACAAAACACACATGTATATTATGAGTTGAGATTTTTAGGGAACCAAANTACCAAATAAAGTTCTATTGTTTTGTAATAATATTGCGTTTTAATGTAAAGCGAAATTAATTTAAATTGCGTAATACACGACTCACTACTTTTGAAGCAGTTCGCAGATCAATAAATATTATCTGTTTTGCAAAAATCACGTTCAACGTTTGGATCGATAGATCAGCTGCTGGATTACTAATATATATTTAAGTTTCGTGCAAATATCAATACATTTTTGTTTTAACGCTCAAGTTATAGAGGTGCAAAAAGTTGTAGTTCTTAGGATTATTCGAAGTGACATAATATTATGACGTTTGCTTGTTTCAAATTCACAACAATGACGCGACTCGAGCTTCATCTTTTATCTTATGTGTAATAACGATTTTTGCAAAATTGTTCAATTCTTTTAATTCGATAAATCGAAATTAAATATTACTAACTACGAAGCGTTGTATAGCAGTAGTAGTTTTTTTATGTGAATTGTATCTAATTTTTTGAGTAGATGTATATTTGTTTGTTTGTTGTTGCTGTTGTTTGTGTTCTACGTGGGCTGTATGGTTGACTTAGCCGTTTATTGGATGGATCTACTTCTGTGCATCGGGAATCTCAAAGTTAATATCCATGTTCATTTCACGAGCCAACGATACGATTTGTGCCAAATGCACAGCCATGTCGGCAGCCTTGTCTAAATCATCTCGGGCCAAAATCTTCAATCCTGAGTTGCGGATCAATTCSCGAGCCTCCTTCACTTTAGTGCCCTATAATCAGAGGCATTATTTATTAAGATAATACAATTTTCTCTCAGTTAAACGTGTTCAAATTACCTGCAAGCGCACAACAATCGGTAGGTTAAGATTCAAATCTTTGGCAGCGGCTATGATACCCTCGGCAATAACATCACAACGCATAATGCCGCCGAAAATGTTAACTAACAAACACATGACCTTCTTGTCGGAAGTGATAATCTTGAATGCAGCCTTGACYGCTTCAGCTGTGGCGCCACCGCCAACATCAAGGAAGTTGGCCGGCTCACCACCATACAACTTGATAATGTCCATGGTGGCCATGGCCAAGCCAGCACCGTTAACCATGCATCCGATGGTACCATCTAGCGCAATATAATTCAAATTGTATTTGGCCGCTTCGACCTCTTTGGGGTCCTCCTGGGTCCAGTCACGCAAGCTGAATAGCTCCTTTTGCCGGAACTCCGCATTGTCATCAAAACGCAGTTTGGCATCCAGGGCAAAGACTATAATTGATAATTGAAAAATTTATTTAAAATTTTATTAAACTTATCATATTTTTAAGTGGATTTTTGTTTAGTAAATTTCCGTTGAGCTTATAGATGCCAATTGGGTGATATTATGTAGTGTGATTTCAAAGTGCAACCATATATATAAAGCAGTACTTACAGCCTTTATAAGTCATCATCACGCAGCATTATTGACGTTATCATGATATAGATGAATTATGAGTTAGTTAAGGAAAGATGACAAATGTTTTAGTAGAGTTAGTTAACGATAAGAGTTCGGCAAGCTGACAACTTACAGCCAGTCATGGCATCTTCCGCATAGGGATTGATCTCAACTAACAGTGCATCCTTCTTCACAAACAGCTTGTAGAGGTTAAGCAGCATATCGACGTGTTCCTGAGCATTTTCACCACCCAGACCGACCTTGTCAATGACGCGGGAGGCCTGTTCTTTGGTCAGTCCCTTGCCAATATCAATTGGCTCGTAAATAATGGCATCGGGACTATCTTTGGCAACTTCTTCGATATCGACGCCACCCTCCTTGGATGCGATCAGTACGGGTCCCTGATAGCAATGAAAATCTACAATAAATCTGATTTTCTTTTAAGCACATGATTGTGGAACTTACATTGAAAGCGCGCTCCAACATGACAGCAAAATAGAATTCACGGCGAGGAAACTTTCGCTCGGCAACCATTACCTTCTTACAGAGACGACCTGCCTCGCCGGTTTGCTTGGTGACCAATAGCTGATCGATCATCTTCGAGGAAATTTCCTCTGCTGACTTCGGACTAGACAATAGACAAAAATKATTWCCACAWAAGTTYATAAGATATACAAATATTACTTACTCGAAGACGACACGAACGCCGCCCTTAAGGCCATTTTTAAATGTGCCTTTACCACGTCCGCCAGCAAGAACTTGGGCCTTAAGCACCAGATTATCTGTCTTTAGTTTTTTGGCTATGTCATGAGCTTCTTTACCATTCTTTGCAACGGCGAAGCTGAAAACAAACAAATGAATCATCAATGTGAAAGTTTTGTGGCTCTGCTTTTATGTTGCAGAGTACTGAAAATAATAACTGATAATAATGTCTACGTCAACGATTCTTATCGGCTGAATAACTGGCCATATGTTTTGTATCTATAAATATGACCCTTACCGCAAGGTTATTCAAACTGTAAATAACACTTAATAAACAAATTTTTATATACATGATGCTTAATCTTTTTTGAAAAGTTTCTCTTTGTAAGGTCAATTTTCNTGTTAAATTTAATATTTTTTAGTATATATTTATATAAGGACTGCACTCATGGTGTACTTTAATACGTAACAACATTAATTCAATCAATATTTATTTAACTTTAATATGTTGAGGTTTTATAGAATGCTTTAATATTTAAGGAACATTTATTGACTTAAGGAATATTCAAGTGTTTAGGCAAGTTATGAATATGTAAAATGTAAAAAATAGTATATTATTATCAATATCTCACGAGCTTTCCGTCCATTTACTAATATTTACGTTAAGTTAAATGCAAATCGTAATCTCGTTTTATATACAAAAGTATATATATTAATGATTGGAATGCAAAAGGCAAAGTCCGTGAAACAGTTGCCGTAACATTAGCTTGCACTTTGTACCGTACTTTATATTATTTATATATTTAAATATGTATTTGCTTTGCACTTACCGAGGCGTTGGGATGTTACTTTCGTTCAGCAGCGTATATGAAACATGTTCCTGAACATTTAGGTTCCTCAACTGCTGCAGTCCGATTGGCGAGTATTTCAGGATCTGTACGAGAGGGAGGGAGATAGAGAACAATATAGTAATAAGCAAAAAGTCACGAGTTTCTGATTGGAAAATAATACGGGCAAAGGCATGACGCATAAAATAAACTCGAAATGATGTCTGTAGGTCATAAACAAAAGTCGTTTTTTGCAAACAAACAAGTTGAGGGAGACACGACAAATAACGGCATTTCATCATGTTAATCAAATCTAATTCACATAGATTAAATTTTTAATTAGTGGGCTCGTCCGCGATAGCAACAGTTGTCAACTATGCCCACGGTTCATTGATAAAAGAGATCAGTTTTGAATTTGTCGTTCAAGGTCCCATTTTCACCTTACACAGAGTCGACCATTGCGTCACACACAYACATACGCACTTTTCCTACGCATAAAAGAAAGCAACAACAAATTGATCGCAAACACCGACAGTCAGGTGGCTTTTTGTGCAGCGCTCTCCTGAGAGCAGCGTTCACCTTGTGAATTTGTTGTTGGTTTTCGGTGCTCTATTTTGCAATTATGTAAAAGTACCACGGCAAATTATTCATTTTCTAATGTTGCAGCACACTTACCTTTGTCACCGTTTTGGGGTTTATTGTTTCAACAAAAGTACCCCCTGCACGCGCCAAAAAAGATGCCATTTTTCGTCTAAAATTAATGAAACTAATATGAATTTGTTGGCACTTATTCCAACACAATTTACTACTCACTTCGGTCGCCTTCTAATATGTATTCATTTAATAAATTTGTTATCGATGATAATTTTAGTATGTTTTATACGGGCACACAACTGTAAAACATCGATTTGTCGATAGGTAGCTAAGTNTTTTAATTAGTGGGCTCGTCCGCGATAGCAACAGTTGTCAACTATGCCCACGGTTCATTGATAAAAGAGATCAGTTTTGAATTTGTCGTTCAAGGTCCCATTTTCACCTTACACAGAGTCGACCATTGCGTCACACACACACATACGCACTTTTCCTACGCATAAAAGAAAGCAACAACAAATTGATCGCAAACACCGACAGTCAGGTGGCTTTTTGTGCAGCGCTCTCCTGAGAGCAGCGTTCACCTTGTGAATTTGTTGTTGGTTTTCGGTGCTCTATTTTGCAATTATGTAAAAGTACCACGGCAAATTATTCATTTTCTAATGTTGCAGCACACTTACCTTTGTCACCGTTTTGGGGTTTATTGTTTCAACAAAAGTACCCCCTGCACGCGCCAAAAAAGATGCCATTTTTCGTCTAAAATTAATGAAACTAATATGAATTTGTTGGCACTTATTCCAACACAATTTACTACTCACTTCGGTCGCCTTCTAATATGTATTCATTTAATAAATTTGTTATCGATGATAATTTTAGTATGTTTTATACGGGCACACAACTGTAAAACATCGATTTGTCGATAGGTAGCTAAGTCGTTGCTCGAGTGAATCAAATCCAATGACTTTAAAGGGTGAGCTGATGTGATTTACATAATTTGATGCAAAACAAAATTATATACCTTCTTTATGTGTAAAACCAGTTCATATTCACATAGATGTTTTGACTTTTTTGTGTGTAACATTAGTATCCCGCCAACTTCAGTGTCGCCTATCGGACCTATCGATATTCAAATTGAATAAATTCTCGACTACTCGTACTGACGCGCGCAAGTATAAAATACAAACGTAGATGGCATTTATGTATATATGACGTTTACATGTCACGTCACTAATATTTGTTATTTTTTAGTACGACAACGTAAGACAATAATTTTGTGGAGAGTACCCGAATCAAGTATACCTAAAAAAAAATATGGATCATAAAATTGAGCACACACACGATCCACAGTTGCAAGAGCCATATCAATCCGATTCCCCTAATCATACCATTGTGAACGAGAGTCCTCTTGTGCAGCACCTGCTTAACCATATAGGCGAGCAGAAATATCGATTGAAATGGGAGCAGCATGCAAGATATCAGAAAGAATTACAGCTGAAAGCAGCTTTACAGAAGCAGTGCAGTTCACTCACAGATAACAGAAAGCTGAATGCTATGTTAAGAAATGCCAATTATGAGCTTTCTGTGCTCAAATCGCAGTTGAACCCCACAAATTCGGAGCAAACAACACAGCTGAAAACTGTTTTTCATAATGAAGACACTTTGATTGCAGTTAACAAAAAGCTGCTTGCAGAGAATGCTGAGCTAACTGCGACCCTGGAAGCTAAGGAGCTCCAGTTATCCAGTGAGAAAATTAAGGCAGAGCAACAAATTGCACAGGTAAAATACATGTACATATATATGTATGTATACCTAGCTTACAAGCTTGAAATATTTATTCAACATTAATTTAGCTGAAAGAAGATCTAAGTCGAGCCGATCGCGAATTGAAACGGTGCCAGACTCATGTGTTTGCCATAACTACGATCAACGAAATGCTAATAATTGGGAATGAAAAACGCGACGATATAATTTTTGAATATAAGCGAAAGTTGCAGAAATTCAATAACTTAAGCATGTCATCTGATTCTGAGTCACTATCGGAAGACAGTTCTATTGTACAGGCTGAGCAAGAGACGCACAAATCCCTAGGAGAGAAAGCTGAGAACTGTGTGGGTGAGTAGGCAAACTGATGCATATTTGTATGAATAATATAGATATATTCAAAATATCCATAGAGCCCTGTCAGGGCTTGCCCCGTAACGCCAATACATCGCCTATTCATTTGGAAACCTATGCTGAGTTTCGTCGACATTTATCTGAGGTAGAGGAAGAAACGACCGATCAGTATCTGTGTACGCTTTGTGGCTGGCGTTCGAGCAGCGAGGGAGATCTTAAGCTTCACTTGTTTGAGAAACATGAAATGGAATCGCTGTCAGTGATGTTGGATAAATGCTGTCTGGATTAGTATTTTGAGAAGACTAGTGATAGTGAGAATCTAATATAAATAAGATTTTTTATGCCTAAGAAGTTTCCAGCTGTAGACGTGGATTCACTGGATTGCTAGACATTATCCGATCAGTTTCATTTGTTTAACGAAACGAAATTGTTGCATTTTTGTTTACATTTTATTTATTCTTTTTTTTTTTTTTTGGATTTTACATTGCTTGTTATGGTTGGACATACAAAAAAAAAAGATTACATCATCACATACAATTAACATACATACAAGAGAATAAATAGATTTAATAATTCTAATAATTAGGCAAATGAGTTTAGATTTTTTAACTAAATTCTCAATCTGGCAAGCGTACACTGAAAGAAAGCACGCCGCATTAGCGCGCACTTCGATTGGCATGCTTTCTGTACAGTGTACGAAATTGTTTAAACTTTGAGGACGAAAGTACGAAAATCGGGCAAATGCTTCACTTGAATGGGCTTTGACATAAATGGGAAATCAACCGCGGCATTGATTCGCTGCAAGCCTTCAAGGGAAGCAAACGCATTTTCATGACGCCGACAGAGCCCATGGCTCAGATGTATAGATCCCGATCCTGATGCACAGTCCAGAATCGCTTCTCATACATGAGCATGGGCGGAGTCAGCCGAATAGACAGATAGAATACAAGAGATAGATACATTAATAACATTGCAATGTTTTTTGTTTTTTTTAGAGTTGCATTTTCCATTGAACTCTGTGCGGAAATCACAATGAAAAATGTGAAGAGAAAAAAGAATTTTAAGAATATTTTCAAATGGTGCTCGAAATCAAATTGGTTATGTAACGAAAGTTTGGCAAAGCTTTTGGGATAGCAGCAAAAGCAAAGTACCAAAAATTCGATACATAACAAAACATGTTGATTTCGAGCCTTATAAACTTGATGATGTTTTGGGAATCACATATAACACATAAGCGAACAAACGTAGGAATATACAATAAACATTTAACACATATTTATCACATAGATTTACAAATAAAGACAAAGACTAACACAGAACGAAACGAACATAAAACACATTAAAAACTAACATTCGAAATCACATTTCAGTTTTAAAAACAACTCTGCATGCCGTCACTTGAAATGAATGTAAAATTTGAAGCCTGGTGCCAGACCGGTGGCTCCCTCAGCTCAGCTCCACAGCTCTTCAGCTCCTCAGCTCTTCCCTAATACTCCAAATTCGCTTCAATCATCTGAAGCACTCGCTGCCGTCCGATTTTGTTCCAGAATACATGTGGCTCAGATGAGCCCGTCACACTACGTGGCCCGCTATAAAATAAATATAGAAAATTTATGAGGTTTTCCAACTTATAAAAGGGTTGTGTAAAATGTTAATAATAAAATACCAAAATTTATAAAATTAAAAAAATAGCTTGTATGATTTCTGTCTTTCTATCTTCGATAGCATTACTAAATAAAATTTGTATCAAATAAAATTAATATGAATACGTTAACGAGAGTAGTATAAAAAGTTGTTATCTTAACATTTATAGGATGATAGTCTAAAACGGTATTTTTTTTATATATGTATAGTATGTATATTTAAATTAATACAATTTAAATAAATTTTACAAAAATGAAAACATTTCTTTCTTCGCTAAAGGATAGTTACTTTCCACACTATCCTCGTATATATTGATCCTTAAATGCCAATATACTCATTTTGCTTACTGAACAAGTATTAAACATAATTATTGAAATATTACTTAAGTTACATTCACAGTTCTAGCTGACAGATAACTTACTTCTGGAAGCAATCGAATCGCACGACGCCATTCTCGTTGATCAGACAGGAATGTATATCAATAACTTTCAGGTGTCGCCCCTCGTTGCGTATAAACTTGTTCAGGCGCAACACCTTGTCGCATGTCTGCTTGTCGTGGCGATAGTTGGCCAGCGGTGCGAGCGTGGTCAGCACTGGTACAAATCTACGGCTATGCATCTCCTTCACCAGCTGACGGAAATCGTGCTCGATCTGCACAAGCGGCCTGCCACGCATTATATCCACGGAGCCGATATTAACGATGATTTGCGTCATCTCCGGCAGCTCGACAAGTCGCAGCCGTTGCCTGGCCGCATTGATCGTCTGTCCAGAGATGCAGAGTCCAGACTGCAGCACCTTCTCGTCTATTTATGGGTCGATGCGAAACCAAACACGTGAGCACACAAATATCAATACCAATACCAATACCAAAGCAATCCATATTACACTTACACTTCTTGAAACGGCACTTCAGCTCCATGCGTGCCAGATATAACAAGAAGTCGTCGCCCAGCAGTGGAAAGTCCAATAGATATGCATCATAGTCCGAGTTGATGGTGAACATGGAGTCATGTTGCGATGGACATGACAACGTTGTTGGCGTGGGTGTGAAATCGTTTCGCCTCTTATGTGTGTACTCCTCCAGGTGTTTCAACTGCTGAACTACTTGATGTTGTTGTTGCTGCTGCGGCTGCTGTTGCTCTTTGTGCTCTGCCGGCGGTGCTGCCTGTAACTGTGCAGGATTCAAAGTATTCGAGTAGATGTTGATGCTGTTGCTGTTCTTGAGAGCATTGGGCTGCGGTAGCTGATACTGATTGTTGCTGCAAATGAAAAGTCGGTAGATACATATAGATATACAGATATAGATACAGATATAGATACCGATGTCTATACAGATACAGATACAGATACAGATACAGATACAGATACAGATACAGATACAGATGCAGATACAGATACAGATACAGATACAGATACAGATACAGATACAGATACTTTCAATAATAATAATAATGAATATTAGATAAGTTGAAAAGAACTTGATCCTGATAATACTCTTGCATAACTCAGTAAAAATATATATCTTCATATTTTAAGTCATTTTAAGCTTATTAAGTTAATGAATTAATCACACTTACAGATGCTTCCAGTTGTCATGATAGACACCGTTGGGCGCCAATGCAGCAGCCGTGGCCAGGGGCTGCAGCTTGGCCATCTTGACAGCTGGCTTCTCGCTCGAGTTGAGATTAACATTGAAGTTGGGTGGCATTCGCCGTTTGTATTGTGAGCGCCACAGACGTGGCGGCTCCTGTGAGTACACCATGTGGTTGTTGTTGTTGTAGTGGGTGTTGTTGTTGTTGTTATTGTTGTAATTGTTTCGACTCTCACGTTGGCGCTGCTGCAATATCATCTCGTGAAGATGGCGTGTTTCCTCAGTGGGCTTGATGTTAAAGATGCGCTTGCCGGACTCACAGCACTCGGCCGTGACGTGCGGAATGGTTAGCAGAAAGTCTGTGATGTTGTCGTGCACCGGAAATGCAGTGCCCGTCAATTGTCGATACTCATCTGTATTATATAGATATATAGGGGTGCAAATATTAAATATATATCGAGAAGATCTGATGAATATGGAAATGAATTGGTCTTGAAAAGCCACAACAATAAAGAAAGTAAATTGATTTTTCTACTAACTCTATGAGTAAATTATGTTTTGTGGAAAATGGAACTTATAATTAATTAGAATAAACATCTAGTTTAAAGAGGTTATTATTCGAAAATTAATCAACACTAATCAACAAAAAGTTTATCAACTTTGTGACTTACAAATACTTTGAAAAGGGTATTTCTTAGTCGATAATATCCGATTGCCTCTTTAATCACGTGACTTATGAAATAAAATTTTCACTGACTTTGCTCAAATTATCTTTATCACTACTGTTCCTGTATTTAAAGTTTCTACGGCTTAAACTTACTTTTGATGCTTGATATCGTGATACCATTCTGGGCATTAGCCAGCAGTATGGCGCGTATTTCAGCATCAATCTCGGGGTGCTCGTCACGCACCCCTATATAGGTGCTATCCATGATAGTCATTTCGGAGCTGAGGGTGCTCGATATGAGGGTCGATGAGAATAGTCGCGCTACAATTTGCAACTCCTCCTCTGCCACCTGCGTCTGCTTCTGGCTGATGCGGCGACCAAGTGCTGGCTGTAGCTGAGCGGCTGCTGTCCGAGCACTTGCCAAATTCTGGCGTGCTGTGAAGATCCTTTTGAATTTGCGCAAATAGGTAACTTTCTCGTCCAAAATGGAGCAGTCCGCGCGGACAAATATATTATAGAACTGCCCAGTGCCACGTTGGTGATTCTGCTGGCGTTGGTGTTGTTGCAGCTTGAGCAGCCAGTGCTGAAAACACGTGGTCAGCTTTTTCTTCAATGCCGTCAGGCGCTGGTTGTAAGTGTTCGGCACGCTGTGAAATTCACTTCTGAATGTCGCCATCGCTGTGACGAAAATGAGTTTCTCCATTCTCCGCTGCGTTTGCCATGTGCTGCGCTCTATTGTTCTCGCGCTCACTCTCTCCATACATCATTTCTTCAGTGGAGAGTTTCATCCTGTGCGTGTATTGGTAGCGATCAATGCAATTTGGCAAGTGTGCGATTAGAATAACAGTAGTTGATGAGCTTTTTTGCTTTGACAGATTTGTCTTTGCAGTAGGGTGGCTCACTATTCGAATGCATGAAATTACGTATGTTCATATGTATATGTATGTACATTTGAGGAGTTACTGTAGTTGAAGAGCTTTTTTTCTGTAACTTTAACTGTCCGCGCAGGTGGTTGCTTCACTGTGAATCCATTTGTGTTAATATTGTAAAATTCTCTTCATTCGCTTTTCGGTGTACCCATGTCTGGAGTCATTTGCAGGTTTTTATACGAATCACTGCACTTCAGTAGAATGTGAGCTTGAACTGTGGCTTGTATACTATAAGCATTAGGGTGCTTCAATACTTATATAGAAATAAGAGGATAATTTAAGTACTTTATTATAAAAACTCATAATGTATATAATATTTTGAAAGTTAAGAGCAATTTTGTCTCATATACAAATATTTGCAGACTTTATTTATTTTAGTTCTATTTATTAGCTTAGTAATATTTTTTTTTTAACTTAGCAAAAGTTCTTGGATTTTTTTTTTTTTGCTTGTAAAGCATTTAAGACACGTAGCACGTATTCTTTAAAATGTTTTCAACACTTCGGTCGTAAAATAAAATTGCCTGACAATTAAGTCATAAAAAAGCGGTAAAAGGAAAACAACAATTTTGGTCGATCATTTTTATATTTAGCTAGATAGGCAAATTTTATGAATACATGCTAGATCATTTTTTTTATATCTCTCAAGTTTTATTATTAATGCGATAAGTCGCCTATAATTGAAAGCAATTGCCACCTTTAAGCCTATAAAATATTTGGAATCAGCTGCTTATGAAATTTTTACGTTGTTTGGCAGCTGGTTTTTCCAGCTCTTCGGTCAGACAACGCTTAAAAATATTAAGCAATTATGCTATAATAAAAATACCATGTGCAACGCCAATCTTGAAATTGACTACCGTATAATATGATACCCCTCTTTCCTTACCTTCATCTTTCTCTCTCTATCCCTTTCTCTCTTTACAACTCCCCAGATGATTATCGAATAATTTCACCTGGCTGGCTGTGGAGGATAATCAGACAGCTTTGATGGATGGTCCAGACACCCTCTTGGACAGTGGCTCACGAATCAGGAAAGAAAGGAAATACAGCAGACAGCAGGCAGAGGAAGAGTGGGGGAGAGGGAGAAAGGGAGGGCGGGAGAGCTGGAGAGTTTGGCTGTGCTTTAAGCCCATGTACCAAATCTCTTAATTGCAAAGGAAGCTGCAGCGACGTGCCAAACAGTAACGAAATGGGCAAGAAACATGTGCTGGACCATTTGCTAACACATTTTCGCATGTTTGCGATTCGATTTCGATTTGTATTTGCAAATGTAATCCCCCTTGAAGCTGTTTGGTATAGGGGGAAATTTATTCAGTAAATTCGTTTGGAGTGTAAATCAGGAAAATGCTGAAGCAAACTTTCTGATTGCTCAGCAATATTTTGTTTGGTTTGAAGTAGATTATTTTTCTTGGAAATGAGAGGCAGCGAGAAAACAGCCTAAGCGTTGGCAAATAACCTATATCTGGAGAGATCTTATTGTATATATTCCTATCTGACAAGCACATATTCGAATTTAGATTTCAGATCATCATCATCATCAGCATCATCTCGCAACAGTCAATCAAATAATTAGGCAATCAGTTCTTGGGCCCTATTAACTAGCTAGTAACTCATTCAGTCAATCAGTCAGCTGGATCTTTGTCTGTTGTCTTTTGAGTGACATAATCGATCAGTCACTCAAGCAATTATTTTGAAAAGTCAGTCAATCATTGTTCGGGTAGTTATTAGACAGCGAGTCAGTCACTTGCCAATGTGTTTAACTATAGTCAGTCACTTACTCATTTCATTGGTACGTACTCTATCAATCAGGAAGTCTGTAGTTCAATCACTCAGTTTCACATTCAATCAGTTATGGAGTTGCTGCAATCAGTCAAAGATCTGTCATTCTAACATTCAATTCTCATGCAGTTCAATTGATAAACCATTCCGGAGTTACTCACTCAGTCAATCTGTCAATCACTAGCTGGCTGCATCTATTGAAGATTCGTTTGACAGCTTTGCGGGAGCGCGTTGGAGCTTTATTCATTGCCGCCTCAACGCATGGGCGACGCTATGCACGACTTAGCATATTCGCATAAATTATGCAGTTACCCGACCATAGAGGGCGGCACTCCAACATTCGCATATAGAAATATCCAAATAGTTGCAATTACTTAACTCAATTTATGCAAACGAACTTTGTTATTGGAATGTTGAAATGCCGGATTGTTGTGGGTGGCCGACACCTGCTGTCGCCTGTTGTGTTTGAAAATATTCGAAGCATTTCGAAAAATTCAATATTGAAAGCCAATTGATTTCCATGTGTTAACTGGTYTACATTTTAMAATATGCCGAAAGACAATGACTTCTATTACACTTTGAAATACAATATATGGTAATATCGGCCTATTCGATATGCTGAAAACGTGCCAGACTAAATCTCATTCGCTCAACGGATTTGAACGTGACGATCTCATGTTAATTTATCTAATACATATGTATATATTTTTTAATTTTCATTACTTTAAGTACTGAAAAGAAGTAATCTTATAATA